CTGAAAATTGCAAACTTCGCAAGGCTAGGCTATATCCGCATTTTACTCCATTTTCCAACGAAACTTTGGAATATTACTAATTTTGTGATGCTCTTTCAAGCTGTGATCAAATTTTTGTCTAGACTTGTTGAGTTCAAAATTTTGATTATAAAAGTGGGGAAATGGTTCTTTTAACGTGCTTTTCTTTAATATCAAATACAGTTAGGAATTTCAGACTTTTATAGCTTAATTTTTCTGTAGCCCCAAACTAAAATTTCAAATTCCATATCTGTGTTTGAAAAGCACACTGTAGTAGCAATAGTATATCAAGAAATAAATTATTTATATTCTGTGTCCTTTGTTGAAACACTTAATGTTTCACGAACATTGTCCGACCCATTCGTGAAATTGTCCGACGTAGAAAGGAAACAACTGGACATTCTGTCCGACCTAAGTGAAACCATAGCCTATCGAAGGGAAGATGGCTGTGAAACTCATTAGAATAACAGTGTGACAGCATGCTCAAAATTTTGTGCGTATCGGACGTATGCTTTAAACGATAAGCATACTCTAGGCACACGCTGAATACGCTAGAGGTACGTCAGATGTACGGTACTCATACGCTGGCATTTCAAAGGATTTTTGTGCGTATGAAAATTATTTCATTAACCCATTAAGCGCCAGCGCTCTCCCCTTGACGAGTAAAATCGTCTCGCGTTAGACAGAGTAAAATACTAAAGTAGGGTGCATTAGGGTGCAATGCGACTCAATGGGTTAACTAGACACATGGGCAGATAGGCCAGTTAACCCATTAAGCGCCAGCGCTTTCCCCTTGATGAGTAAAATCGTCTGGCGTTAGACAGAGTAAAATACTAAAGTAGGGTGCATCAGGGTGCAATGCAACTCAATGGGTTAATTTTCATACGCTTCTCATACGTTTCTCTCATACGCAATAGTGTGACAAGGCCTTAACGTTTGTTCATAAATCTGGTCCTTCATCGTCACGCTTTTGTATTGTATTTTTGCCAAATCCACCAATAGCAATTTCCAACTTACCCTATTGTTCGAGTCAGGAACTGGTAACTTTCCTAAAACTTGCTATTGGTATGAATAAATGTTGACTAACATAGATGATGAGTTATATTGTTATTCTAATGAGTTTCACAGCCAAATTACTTGGTAGCAAGTCTCCAAAACGTCGTCAATAAGTTGTGTTCGCTCTGGTTGTTCCAAGTTGTCAACAAGTTTAGAACAAGCTGTTAACAACTTGTAATAACCGTGTTGATATTATCAGACTGCTATTATCAGACAACCTTGTGTCGTCAACCTTGTAACATTCTTGTTATATCATGACTGTATCAGACTTGTTAGAACAACCTTGTAACATTCTTGTTATATCATGACTGTATCAGACTTGTTAGAACAACCTTGTAACGTTCTTGTTGTATCATGACTGTATCAGTCTTGTTAGAACACAACCTTGTAACGTTCTTGTTATATCATGACTGTATCAGACTTGTTAGAACAACCTTGTAACGTTCTTGTTATATCATGACTGTATCAGACTTGTTAGAACAACCTTGTAACGTTCTTGTTGTATCATGACTGTATCAGACTTGTTAGAACAACATTGTAACGTTCTTGTTATATCATGACTGTATCAGACTTGTTAGAACAACCTTGTAACGTTCTTGTTATATCATGACTGTATCAGACTTGTTAGAACAACCTTGTAACGTTCTTGTTATATCATGACTGTATCAGTCTTGTTAGAACAACCTTGTAACATTCTTGTTATATCATGACTGTATCAGTCTTGTTAGAACAACCTTGTAACATTCTTGTTACATCATGACTGTATCAGACTTGCTGGAACAACCTTGTAACATTCTTGTTATATCATGACTGTATCAGTCTTGTTAGAACAACCTTGTAACATTTTTGTTATATCATGACTGTATCAGACTTGCTGGAACAACCTTGTAACATTCTTGTTATATCATGACTGTATCAGACTTGCTGGAACAACCTTGTAACATTCTTGTTATATCATGACTGTATCAGACTTGTTAGAACAACCTTGTAACATTCTTGTTATATCATGACTGTATCAGACTTGTTAGAACAACCTTGTAACATTCTTGTTATATCATGACTGTATCAGACTTATTAGAACAACCTTGTAACATTCTTGTTATATCATGACTGTATCAGACTTGTTAGAACAACCTTGTAACATTCTTGTTATATCATGACTGTATCAGACTTGTTAGAACAACCTTGTAACGTTCTTGTTGTATCATGACTGTATCAGTCTTGTTAGAACACAACCTTGTAACGTTCTTGTTATATCATGACTGTATCAGACTTGTTAGAACAACCTTGTAACGTTCTTGTTATATCATGACTGTATCAGACTTGTTAGAACAACCTTGTAACGTTCTTGTTGTATCATGACTGTATCAGACTTGTTAGAACAACCTTGTAACGTTCTTGTTATATCATGACTGTATCAGACTTGCTGGAACAACCTTGTATCATGATCAAGTCTGATAATGCCATCAGGCTTGTTACAAATTGTGAACAGCTTGTTACCAGTAATACAACAACTGGGAACAGGCAGTGCGAACATAGCCTACCGTGTAGACCCCAGCAGAAACACGTTTCTGCTGGGGTCTACACCGTAGGCTAGTGCGAAGCGAACACAACTTGTTGACAGCTTCTGAACAGATTTGTAACGACTTGTTTCAGTTGTTTGCAAATCTGTAACAACTTGTGCGTTTTTACGTGTGTATGATAAAACCACTCGCCTTCGCCTCGTGTTTTAGCTTACTCTTTGTCATATTAGGGTCATTCCATTCAGATGACATCAAGTATCTTAGAGAAATCGCAGGCTCAGAACAAGCATGGCAGCATCTGACAAGAACGAAAGCAGTGATAATTTTGTCTTGGTTATAAATTGCAGTAAATGCTTGTCTTCTCGGGAATTTATCACACGTAAGTATACCATAGCTAATACTAGTGTTTCTTTTCTTAGTATTGTTTAAAAATTGTCTGTACCTCATTCCATTTGCATGCTTTTTCAACTTCATATTGTCGATATGGGCCTGTCAAATTAATTTGCTACATCAATTAGTTTTCGCGTAGGTTTAGTATTATAAACTATGGCAGGGAAACAGATGGCATTTTGAAGGAGCAAAGAAATTAGGCTACATTTCCCAACTCAAGTGGTATAAAAGTTGCATAATTTTTGTAACATCAGAAAACTAGTTACTATCTTACCGATACAAGTAATACACTGTAGATGTGACTAGTTGCCACATAGCAGCCCAATAGCTAGGTGTGTTAAATATTTGACTAAATTATTTGACCTTTTAATAAAACTGTTTAATATGGCGAAAATGTTTAGAGAATGCATTTCTGCAGTTCTGGGGCCGGCTGTATAAAACTCCTAACTATTTTTTAACTGATCACCCATTTGTGATATTGTCCAACGTAGAAAGGAAACTGCCGGACATTCTGTCTGACAAACTGAGGTTTGTTTGTCCAACCCGAGTGCATTGGTGTCCGATGTAAGTCAAAATGTACCCTAGTTAGGGACATGCACATTATGCCGGAATTTCTTTTAGAATAACAGGATTTTTTTTAAACCGGGAGTAATGGTCAAAAGTGAAAATAATAGGCAAATGTTTTGGTATGAGGACATCATAATTGTATTCACAAACAGTTTGTAAACAATGCATTTGATTGGCTTATTTTAGTTCATTTTTTTGGGCAAAATTTGGGACTGGACTCATACTTTTGGCGCCGCGTACCCACTGTATATCCGCCAAACTCAAAGTCATCACCACAACATTTTGTCAGACAGCCCTGTAAAAGATATTTTAAGGCTTGTAGTTGCCACCAAATAGAAGATTATTGATACATGCACCATTGTTTGTAGCATTAAATATGGCACACGAACGATCATATAAAATGTTGCACAAATATTCTATTAAGCACAAGTTTCATTTGTTTACCAGAGATAACGAAAGACAAAGTTTCAACTCAAAAGCCATTAGATGGCGTCAATTACCACCCATGGAGAATCGAGAACAAGTATTATTGTGCCGAGGTTAAATTTCTTGTGGTTGCAAATCACAACGAGAGACCCGATTGGCTGACCAAGAAAGAATTCCCATTTACTGCAGTTGTGATTTTATTTGACCAAATACAGGTTGGTTACGTGAAGTATTGGTTTTCTTGAAAAAACTCAGCAATTTAATGAAATCGGGAAGATCGTGTTTCTTAACCCATTAAGCTGCAGAGCTCCCCTATTGACGGGTAAAATCGTCTGGCATTAGACAAGTAAAAAAATAAGTATGGGGCGCACTGGGTGCATTGCAGCTCAATGGGTTAACTAGAGACATTGTAAGATTTTTTGGTTAACCCATTAAGCTGCAGAGCTTCCAATTTGACAAGTAAAATCGTCTGGCGTTGGTCAGTTGAACTATATAAATTGAAACTTTTGAAGTGCAAGTCACCAGACATTGTTTTACATAAGTTACGTACAGTACTAACTAAAATCAGAAATATATATTTTAGGCACCCAGTTTTTCTTGAGCAAAGTTTCGAAGTTGAACAATCTTTTATATATATTTAGTTACATTTTTGGCTGATCTATAAATTGTGAAATTGCTGGCTAAACGTAATTATGAAAACGGTGTATAATGCCGAATTTTTGACTGTAGCTAACACCCTGGGAGTTTTTCAAGGATCTACTGGCAAACAAGAATCAAAGCCCCTGGGAGAGTTCACTTATTTTAAAATTATTTTTGTTTTAGTCCTCATTTGAAGAGGCCAAAGAGTGGCTACCAGATGTGGAATCCCAAGATGCTTCAGTACTTCTACTTGTTGGTTCAAAATCTCAACAAACTGTCACAAATGATGGAGAAAAAAAAGACACGTCATGTTAGTTTTATTTGCATGCTTGCTCTTTTGTTGCATGGGGCTGAGTTAAAGCGATGTGCTAACTCTCGGAAAGTAAATATTTATGTCTTCATGGAACCAGACAAATTCAAGCAAAACAAACTGTGGTCATTAATGACAGATTTCGGCCAGTGA